CTTAACTGTCAGGCCGTGCTCGTGGAGCATTTCTTGAAAGCTCGAGACTTCAAAAGTCATATTCTTGAGAAGCTTATGTGTGTGGGTCAAAAGGTAATTGAACTGGTCTTTAAAGCTGATGTGAGGAGATTCTTTGTGTGACGTACCCAAAGGTGACATAGTAACCGAGAATTTCCAGCCTGTGTGTCCATTTGGACCAATTATGTCAGCTTCAGTGTTAAAGAATGAGACAAATATTGATAACGGTGTTTTATTTACCTCTACATTAACATTTCGAGCTGTGTGAATTGATATTTAGATATTCAACGGCACAAATAATCTTCTCATGTTTGCCATCTAGAACAAATGTATTCTTTTCCACTCATTTTTTCAGTTACTCGGTCTACTCCATTCCCACCTTTGGTAAACAACATTAAACTGGTTATCTGTAAACGTATCCTTCACGTATTGATTACCAGATGCATTCTTGTTAACTCTCAATGAGTGCTAACAACACGGTTTAGTTCCGCACATTATAATGTTCCGTTCCGAACAGGTTTTGTTTGTGGATTCTAATTGCTTAATGTCCCAGTACAGCAAACTCAAAATAGAATCACTTGAATGAATGGTCTTATTGCAGCTTGAAAGATATAAATTATAACATATAACCAAACCCTATCATCATTACTATTTTCGTTCTTATTATTGAATAAGTATCTGGAAATGAAAAAACCTTACAAATAAAATTTAGTAGCTGAGGATTCATTTCAGTAGTAGGCTGCAAAGTTTTTCCGGTTGCAACTATTTAACGGAGCTTAGTAATCAAAACTGTCTGTTTTTTCATGCACAGAATTTATTAATTCACGTGTTAAGCCTCTGGCAACTATTACAAAATAATATACGAAATTAACTTAATGGAAGTGGTTTACTCTCATAAACCTCGTTTTTTCTATACAATCAATTTCTAGTCTTATTAGAGTCGTCTCACCCTGAAAAATTGATAAAGACCTTCATGACTGAATTCAAATAATGTATCATCTCCTTAACCAACCTCTAATTAATTTGGCTTGATCAACATTTCGATCTACAAAAGTCTGTCGTTACTTCATGAGGATCTTCAGCTGTCATAGCTATGTAATTGCGATCAAAATTGATCGAAGACGTGGTTAACAAGGAAAAGTAACATCAACATCATTGATTAGTTATATCCTACTGTACCGTAAGGAGCCGTTAGCAAACAAAATGTTCTGCTCCACAGACATGGGTAGATTGAGGTTATCGCCACACCGTCATGCATGGTGGTCAGATACACTATCCCCTTCTTTTATGATGTTGGGCTCTCTTACATATAATGGTATATTGTAAATAATTTTTATTAGTCTAAAGTCTTTTTTTATACCCTGTCGGAATACACTTTCTCTACTAGCTCCATGTTACATGCGAACCAGACAACCTTAACTTCTGTACGTTGGACGAAAAATCCAATTTGCATATCACACTGCTATTATGCTAAATATTTGTATAAACTGTAAGATATTTGTCAGTTAATAGTTAGTTTTGAGATAGTTAGGATAGGCAGCTGAAGAAAAAAAGAGTAAAATCAGTTTTAAAAACTCATGAGTAAGGCGATTAATAGATAGGAAAGCAAGGCGACTTGATGTTAATAAATCAGGTAAATAAAAATTTGTTAACCTGTCAATACGTGATCAAGGAGGAACTCACAACGATGCAGGAAGTTTGAGTTTCTTGTAATTGACAGTAGCTTAGCAGCATCTACGGGCTTTTCAGTTTATCTATCTACTAGAAATAAAAACTAAAAGTGATGTTACTTACTTACCCGAATGTCTAGGGTAGCATCTCAAATTTTAGTAAGAGTAGTCGCTTTCGTCTTTCAGTTCATGATACCTGTAATGCGGGTACAATATGTTCATGGTCTATTACTAGTTTTGAAGGTTAATCTAAACATTTGGTGGACCATTAAAGTGCCTCCGGACTTGGCGCCAGTTCCGGGAATAGTCGCTAAATTTTTTTCGAATCTAACAACATCACTACTAGTTTAATGAACTTGGAGATTGTGTCACAGATACGGATAGTAACTGACAACCTGTTCCAGAATAGACTGTTTTGTGTTATAAAGACATCACAACGCAATGATTTTTTGTATCTAGCCGTTAATAGTTTATATACTTTGTTTCAAAGTTTGTGGTTCATAATTGGGCAGTATTTAACGAACGGTACACCATTTATCGGTTTCTAGAGAAGTATTATGTTTTTTTTCAACTGACGGTGCCATAAAGTTTCTACGGAAAGATGTTTGCATAGTTCTGTGTAGTCGAGGATATGGCTCCATCCGAGCAGTCGCGGGGTGAAGCTTCCTTGGGTATTTTCTACTCGTGTTGTCCATGATATTCATGTTACAAAACTTAAGTGAGCAATATTCAAGTGAGGGCCTTATACAAATTTTCAAGAGTGTAAGCTTAACCTCATTTGTCAAGAAGTTCTTATTTATAAACCCGATTAGCCGTCTGAATTTAAGGACAATAGTTGAGGCATGTTCTTCAAATTTTAGGCTCCTGGAGTAACGAATACCCATATCATTGGCTGATATGAGTGTCTGACCCCTACAGTTTTTTGAGTAGATTCGTATATCATGTTGAGGCTTACTAAAATTCATGATGCCACATTTGTTATGGTTAAACGGTATTATATATTAGAGTATATTAGAGTAGTATATTAGAGTAAAGCCTGATGACGATCTAATCGAAAACAATATTGTTCGCTTATATGTGTTGTTCTAAACGGTAGCTGTCATGTTTCGCTCCAGGCAGTTAAGTTATCAAGATCACTCTGAATCCTGAATTTATTTTCGTCCAGATATTGAGGCTCATAGCTGTGTACTATTTTTTTATCGTCAGCATATAAGTGTGCTCTTCCAAATCTTATAGTACTACATATATCGTTTATGTACATCAGAAACAAGAGTGGACCTTTACACTTACCTGGATAACTCCACTGGTTATTGGTCTTGGTGATGACAGACAATTATTGTATTTACCTATCTGGTGACCATTTAAGAGTGAAGCAAAGCATGAGTAGAGTGGGTTACTGATTTCGAATGACTTTAGTTTAAGGAGAAGCCTTTTGTGTGGGACCTTATCAAAAGCCTTCTTACAGTCGAGGAAAAGGACTGATATTAGAAGTCCTTTGTCTTATTTCTTCCTAATATCATTGAGATGATCTAGCAGGCATGTATCGCATGACCTGAACGTCAAGAACTCATGCTGTGAGATCGCAATGTGATCGTTATTGAGTAGGTGTTGTATTAACGTCAATTTTACTACTTTCTCCATCACCCTACATGCAGGACTCGTTGACAAACGCGGTGACTTTTTGTTCAACAATCAGTGCACAAGCGTCACTAAGTGTTTTGACGATTTATCGTTGATGTCATAGTTGTTGTCGAATTACTTTGTTAGATTCGGTTGTGGTAATGGTAGCTGGGAAGGAAGCATGAAAATTTTAGCGCCTTCAATCTTGATCAACCAAGATATCTATACTTCGTTTTCGGGAATATATACTCGCCTCCTAAAGTCAGTGAGAAGCGTATGTTCATATGGATGGCTGCCCACCATAACAACACTGACATGTAATTAAATCTAGCTAACGCGGCAATCTTCGATCCAATATGAACATAAAATCAGCGGTTTCATATTTACGCCATACATGAAAGAGACACGCAATTACGTTCACTTGTTGATTAACAGTTACGACTGTCATGATTTTCGCTCGCACGTAATCTATAATGAAGGTTGCTGTTCTTAAGGTTTCACTCATGTCGTCTGTTAACTGATGTAATTTATATGCAGCATCAGTAGGGTATGTTTACATTTTATAAATAAGCATTCATGTTAAACAAACTGAACAAGTAGAAACTGATGAACAACATTATTCACTTCAGTGCAGAAGGTACTTTGAACATGAAGAAGAGGATCAAAGTCTCAAAATCACCTCTCACCGCCAGTAGGACGAGTTACAAAAAAATATCAATATTAAGAATCGTGTATGACTATCCTCATCCATATTATTATGCTGCCTGCCTACAATAGATTCTCCAAAGAAACTACTCAACCTATGGTTCACAAAAATTTTATAAGCAGAAACCAAGGGAATATTTGCCTTAACAAGTCAAAAAATACATTTGATGAAATTAACAATCACTTAGTGGGTCACAGACATCGACAGATCACGTTTATATCCGAAAATCTCAGGCTTTCAGTTACACTGTAAACGACACTTAGGACAACTGGTGCTAAATAAATGTTCGATATTTGTGTGTTAAATTTAGAAATCACTTAATGAATTCCAACACGTGATGTAAGTCATTTTGTCTGTGCGCCAACAAAATAATCCGTATACTCTCTCAGAGTATTTTTAGATTCATCATACTTTCATTTAGTAAGAAACCAGGGTTTTTCTGATCGATAACCGAGGTTAAACGTTTGATATCAGCCCCATCCATTTATCAATAGCTTATGTCACTAGGTAAGCGTTCACTTATCGTGCACGCAATATGCCGCAGTGCTCTAAAAGACGGGCTTCAATGCAACATTCAGAGGTACTTTTCTTAATTCAAAGCAGTTACCAAAATGCGACGAAAGAAGTCTTTAATTGTTGTAATGTTAGTATTATGAGCTAGGTATTCTAAGATTTGTAGGATTGTTTCACTGCTATTGCTTGATAGACGCATATATAAAACCATGCAGTGCACAACTCTTCCTTTAGTGTAAAGAGGCTTTGATGTTGCTCATTGTCTATGTAATTATTCCGTTATATATCTTCTAACAAAGCTCGAAGTCTAACAGTACTAACAATACAGCTTGATTAATAGTGTGTTATCGTTACTTTGATATTTGTTTGATCTCGAAAACGTAATAACTAATAATGACAAAGATTTGAAAACCTCGACGAATTATCGGAGGAAATCAGAAACTATCAAAACTGCGCTTAAACTCAGAATGACCTTCACTAAGCTAGCCGTTCAGGGTCGCGCAACAAAAAGCGCGGTTCTGTTTGAAGGTGGGTTACTTTCCGATTAATCCATCCCTTAGTTATTACTTCTCTGATGTAATTGGAGTTTCAAACTGCTAATAAGCATACCCTGAAGTATTTTAAACACGTCAATTTTTACATATAACTTTTTTAATCCAATTATCTCCACTCAGTCATTAAATCAAATATATATATGTATAGAAAGAGATTATTCAGGATGCTTGGCTAAATTAGCAAGGGGGCTGTTTTAATCTTCATTAAGTCTTAATTACCTAGCCAATGACACATATACTCGGTAGATGTTTTCACTGGTAGCTTCTTTAATTTAATCAAATCTACCAAATGGAATTGAAAATTTAGCTTTTTAAATGTAATGTTGAACAACTTTCCTCATAATCTAACTACTTGTATGGTATTATATACTGTAGTAACATCTCAAAAGCTTCTGGAGTCCCGCTATATGATTCCGATATTTATCAACATATAAATATACTATGAAGTAAATCTCCCCATCATTTTCCGTACATTATACTTAGGTGAACCCCGTTTATGCAACGGCGGTAATACGAAGCCAAATACGAATTCGGTGGGATAAGTTTATTTTAGGCAATCGTTCATGCAGACATGATAATGGAAAGCACAAAAGCAAAGCGAAGTGAAGGTGAGCCAACTCAGTTCGAGGAAGCATGACTAAGCGTTTATAGGGAGACAAGGTAAGCCAGGCATGTAATGAGCGAGGTAGGCGTGCACACACGAACAAAAGCTACTAAGATATGAGCGAATGACTGACAACGTCATTAGGCGAGTGAATAATAACTTAAAAATATTGAACTAGTTAATTTGTCCAAAGGCTAGGGCCAGCCCTGTGGGCTCAACAGGCTGGTTATGGCATGACACGCATTCGAAACTGGATTGAAAAGTCATATAACCCTGTACCATTGTGTAGAACTGCTGAAAATGATTCAGGCTGTCGAAGTGCCACATTCCTAAAACTATTGCATATTTGGGTTCTTCATAGTCAACTTTCTCACTGTAAGTTGGTTAGAGTATGGCTTACATATCCTTAGTCGTTGACCTTTTTAATCCTAAATATAATGATTTTAATAAATCTCTCATGTCACCAAACGAAATTTACAGTTAGATTGAAACATGAAGCATGGTGTTCTTTCCTGAAGACTAGAATTTTGTGAGGAACCTTTTGTAAGATAGAAAACGGTTGAAAGTCTCAAGGAGCAATATACTCCCCATTATCTATGGAAAAAGTGGCTAGTTTGTGTCACCTCGTTTCCTGCAGAACTGTTAAAACATGTTGTTAGGCCCCTTTAATGTTTAGCATTAGAATTGAATTACACCTCGTTGTCTAATAAGAGCACTAATTGACTCAATGACGTAACGTTCAAACATCTTTTCCGGATAAACTATTTCAGGAGTTAATAATGACGAAAGTTTTATTTGTAGAGGACTCATTGTTGTCTGTAGTAGGAAGAAATTTTATAAATTTATCTTACAGGAGGCTAACTATTCTCAAGCTGCGGAGGCCATATAAAGTGTTTAGCCGTAGGGGGATTATTTTAGGTCATGTGTGCACTCCTACTCGGATATCCATTTGAACACCATAGCATGTTAGGAGTTCATCTTTTCCAATCGTCAATGTGGTTCTAGAGATACCTATTAGTTGCGCACATTGAGTCGAATTAGACATACATATGTCAGGTTCTGCGTTGTGCACGACTGAATAACTGTCTGTAAAAACTACGTACTAAAAAAGCAAACAAGTAGGGCCTAAAAACGATGTATTTGACTGTTTATTTATCACAGAATAAAATGTATTGGTCTTGCTATTAATATAATAGTCTGAATTTTCATAGAAACGATTGATTTTGATGTATCTGGACTGCATTCTCTTGCATCACTCATTTCGTTCACTTGCTGTGTGGTTTGTTTTTTAGATTCAGTTCCTTAGACTGGTGAAGTAAACATTTATTTTGATCAATTACCAGCGTTCACATATGCGACTACTTTAATTTCCAATTAAATTACTGGAGAAAAGCTGATCTATTAGTCATCAAGTCGTATTTTAATGTCTAGAATATGCACATTAGATTATTTTATTCTCTGTTCAGGAGTTGTCACAACGTGAGAACCATCTTTTGATATAATATGTTTAGTATTGTACTAATATTCCTTTTCAGGTCAAACCAGATGGATCAGAAGATTTTTAATTATTCGAAGAGGTTTACTGATTCAGCTTGCGTAACAAAGGTTTGTCATTAAACTCTTAAAGCATATACATAAATTAAACTTTAAGTTTTCGAAATTTCAGTTGTGACTAACAAGTTGATTTATAAATATCTCTGGAGTGCCATGGGAATTTAATAGTCATTGAGAGCCACAAATGTCTTTGCGTTTTTAGCAAAACTCCCAAATAAACATTGTTAGGACTCGACCCCAGATCCTAACCAAGTCATCGATTAGGTTGTGGACTTTTTATGAGAAGAGGTAGGTGAGTCAATATGTAGTGTTAACTTGAGTAGGATTAAGTAAGAGAATTTTAGAAATAAACGGACCAAGATGCTATGCTCTTCATGAATTCGATAAATGCCAGTTGTAATCCTAAATACGGGTAAAATCTTTGAGATGGTAATCTTCTTGATTAAAAGCCTCGATTAAAAACGTTCAACCGCAATGGCAAGAAATGTATTCACTCTGGTATAACTGGAATATTTTATTACTTCTCAGTTGTTTTTCTTTTCTGAATGATTGATTACTTCAATACCCTAGTATTTTTGCACCTTTTCATAAAATCGTAGTTCGTCATATATTTCTCTTTATATGTAAGAAACGTAATGAAATTTTCTGAGTCTCTTAGGCTGCCGGCATAAGACGCAGTTTTTGCATTAATTGTTCAACTTAATTTTGAATATATGAAAAAGATCTACAGTTGCCTCTGACCTATGTTTTCAAGCCCAGTGGCTTCGACACGCAATTTTGAATGAGTAGATCACGTTTTTACACAGCCATTTTCTCCATTCCTCAAGTCGGTCATAAACGTAGCAGGACTTGATATTGATACGTACCAATCAGTATCATTTTACCGAATAGTGTAAGGAAATCGTCAAAACGTCTGAGCAAAGGTTCGAAGTAATAATAGTGTCAGTAATTTAATTCACACCATTTAATTTTATCATACGAAATTTGTGCTAGTCGACTGTTTTAATTTTTTTTTTTCTAACAGGATGGTAAAGTAACATGTACAAAAAGTACACATCTAAGCTTGTCAGATCCATTTCGTCGCTTTATGATTTTTGAATGTTCACTAATTCTATTGGCACTATGCAGTTTTGCTGTAATTCATCACAGGCATAAACGTTTAGAAAGAAAGCTAATGCAGAAAGTCAACTTTCAAATTGCAGCTGGTGTTTAATATGCTATCATGAATCATGTATGAACTTATTTCTTACTGTGATAATTTCTTTGGTAATTTTGTGTTTTAAATGGATGAACGGTCTGTAATCAAATGTTATTTTTTCCTAAGCATCGGACGATGCACTCTCTGATGTTTATATATTTAGGTATCTTTACATTTGGTTATCACACAATGTAAACTTAATTCAAAAATAACTCTCATGTTTATATGGTGATCTGGTAATAATCTTGTAATTGTTTAGTGTCACTGCAGCCTCTCAAAGTTCCCTTATGTAGAACACGAGTTGTGATGTGATTGTAATAATCTAACAGATAAGACATTGTGCTATATATCAATCAAATTATTCACGTCTACAGCGTAGACCCATCCTATCTTATTTGACGTTGAATTACTTTGTGTAAGATAGAATCGGACAGTAAACTATTTCAGTAATCGAATGAGTACTGTTTGGATATTTTGGATAAATTTCGTTTGTGTTGCAATAGTCAAACAGCCGAATGAAACTATTTTCTATCACAAGATTTAGGCTAATTATCTTAACGTATCTCAACAATATGATGTCATATAGGTGATTAAATCGTAGAAATGGTACGTCAAATATTTATAAATAGGATTCTATTTCACCTCGTGGGTCAGGGTTGGATTAGTCAGATGCAACGTAGAACTTTGTACATAAGTACATCAGTTCATGTTGCCGTACCACATCAGCACAGAGAAGTAATCGTCAATTCAAATCCAATAGTAGAAGAGGTAGTAAAAGTATTAGAAGTAATCGGAGAGGTTAGGGTTAGAAGATACTATTGAAGAAGTATGATTCAGTGAGAAAAGTTTAGAGAGTCGAAACTAGAGGTGTTGAAGAATCCAGAAGATTAGCATTTGAGAGAACACAGAATAAATGCACCGGCGCCATTGCGAACGATTTTGAGCCATGTCATTCAAGGTCTCTAACCATCGATTATTATGATCTCGCGGACCCCAACCAGGTAGTCGACAATTACCGACATGGCTCAGTCCACTAGTCAATGACTTCATCGATTTGTGCCATGTTTTGGTTTGTCCGCCCCTAGCTTCCAACCTATTTTTACACTACAAAACAAAACTCGTCGAGGCAGTCGGTGGTTGGGCGTACGCAACACATGTCCCAACCACCTCAACTGATGAAGTTTAACCACTTCATCGATTGATCTGCCATCCTTGCCTAGTACTCGTTTCCTAACGACAGCATTGCTTACTCGGTTGTCCCACGGTATACGATCAATGCTTCGAAGACACTGATCGAAAACCAGTAACCTACGAATATCTTCTACTCTCACTGGCCATGTTTCACAGCCATATAGGAGAACGGAGCGAACTACTGCGCAGTACACTCGTCCTTTGATTAGAGAACGGATATCACGCCTACGCCATAAGTGACGCAGGTTGGCAAAAGCCAATCGAGCCTTCTGTATCCGTGCTTAGATTTCGTCAGTCACCAGGCCATCGGCACTGATGAGACTCCCAAGATAAGTGAAGCGGTCAACACGCCCGACTACTTCACTCCCTATCACTAGTTCAGGTACCGATGAAACCCAATCCTGACGCAATAATTTGCATTTCGAGTGTGAAAACCGTACCCGGAGCATGGTTGCATTGTTGCTTAAGGTAATCAGAAGACTCTGCAGTTTGTCAACGTCTTCACCAAATAGGACTATGTCATCGGCATCTCTGACGGACACCACTTGAAGTAAAGAATTCCGGTGACAGTTCACCATAAGCTCTCAGCCGACCGGTGGTATTGGAGTAGAGACCCTATATAAGGTTAATGTGCTTCTTTGGCACACATTTTAATGACAGACACTGACACAGAACCTCACGATCCACAGAGTCATATGCCGCCTGTAGGTCCAGGAAGACAACTATTGTAGGACGCCTAAATGTGTGTCTATGTTCCAGGACCTGTCTGAGTGTGAAGACGTGGTCTATACAGCCACGTCCAGGTCGAAAACCAGACTGGTTTTCTCGAGTCTGCACTTCGCGAGCTCTAGTTAGGCGTCTGAGTATAATCGAGGCTAACAATTTAGAAACTATATTAGTTAGACTTATTCCCCTGTGGTTGTCACAAGAAGACTTTTGTCCTTTCTTATAGATCGGGACAATCAGTGATTGAGACCACTCGGATGGGATTGTGTCCAGTTCCCAGATTCTACCTAGGATCTCGGTCAGTCTAACTGTTAAAACTGGACCACCATCCTTAAAAATCTCAGGTGTCAGCCTATCAGAACCTACTGCTCTCTCTCGCTTCAGATTTCCTATAGCTTTCTCAACTTCATGAAGATTCGGAGGACTTAAATCGATATGTCGTTCAGGATGACTGGAGATCGTGGGTAACCGAAGTGTGGCCCGAGGCCAGTTGAACTGATCCCTAAAGTGTTCTGCCCATCGATCCAGTCTCCTGGATTGAGAATGGATAATAATCCCATCCTTTTCCGAGATAGTCTCACTTACACTAGGATTCCTAATACCAGTTTCCTTGATAAATCAGGAAAGTTGTCTAGTGTTGCCTATCGCCGCTGCCTTTTCCATCGCCTTTGCTTTCGCCACCCACCACTGTTCGCGGTCGTTACGTAGGCTTTTTATCAGTCTTCGCCTAAGCTGACTACGCTCTTCATCATGCTCAGAGTCAGGTGGGATGCGTTTTCGAGCATCCATCAGTTCGGTGGATGCGACTGATATCCACGGCTTCATTCTAGCCTTATGGTTTACCTTACTAGCAGATATCACTGTTGTTTCCACAGCCTTTTTGATATCATTCCAACCTGCTTCCGAATGCGAATCGCTTATATGGTTACCTAACTCTTTCTAGTTTTTCCTGGAATATATTCTTAGCCTCATTATCATTAAGTAAAACCCTAATAGGTTTCCTTGCAGTGTCTTTCCTACGTCCAGTAAGCCTCAAACAAATACGAGCTCGCAACAGGGCATGATGTGAATCTAAACATATGCCCCAGAACGAGGGATGGTCCTCTACCGAACCCCTCCATCGGTGGCTGATGGCAATGTGATCTAGTTGGGTCCATCGTTGAGACGACTTTGGGGGTCGCCAGGTCAGAGTTGTTTTTTCTTATGCCTAAAGTTAGTGTTTGCTAGAAATAGGCGGTTATCTGAGCACAGTTGCAACAGACGGTCGCCATTGTCTGTTCTTTGAGCCGCGACACCATAACATCCACCTAGGTGTCTTTCCTGCTAACTTTGTCTACCTACTTGAGCATTAAAGTCACCAGCCATTATAACTATATCAGGGTGCCTCAAATTTTGGAGGAGGTCCGAAAGCTTCTGTTAAACTCATCTTTTACCTCGTCTGAACTGCAGTTAGTAGTGGGGTATGTAGATAGGACGAAGAGGCGACGGCGTGTCCCTATCTCCACGAGTCCTTACTGTCCCGTTTAGTCGGACAGCGCACAAACGACTATCTACTGGGGTCCAATCTAGGAGAGATAATTCTGCCCTAGGACTCAATGCTATGCCTACTCGAGCAAGACCCCTGGAAGCAGCATCAGGGCTACCGGATACACGAAGAGTGAATCGGGCTGCTTCTTCGTTTTCACAAGGTGGAATCAGGTTATTGACTTTACTAGGATCCTGTATGCGCGTTTCCGAGACGCAGCATACATCGATGGCACGAGTTTCTAAAGTCCTAGCTAATGATGCCTGTTGCCCTATTTGACACAATGTCCGTACATTAAAAGCTCCAACATGTAGTTTAGAACGGGGTTTCAAGAGACCAGGAACGACGTTTCGTGATCTCGCTTCGTCTGCGTTAGCGGTGCAGTGAGAAAAGGGAGTGTGAGTAGAGTTAGTCGTAGAGATAAGAGAGACATTAAAGGGTGTAGAAAGGATTTGATTTTGACCAATCTGGTCTCGTGTGCTGTTACGGGTATGACGGCGGTTATCACTTCCCGGCTGCCCACACCGTGGAAGATTGTTTCTTGAGGAGCTTGAAAAAGAAGGTAGATTAGTGTTGGTCTTAACAATCTGGGAGCGTGACCGCAGAGACCAAGGGACAACCGCTTGAGGCCGGTCACGCACGGCGACCGTCTGTTGCAACTGTGCTCAGATAACCGCCTATTTCTAGCAAACACTAACTTTAGGCATAAGAAAAAACAACTCTGACCTGGCGACCCCCAAAGTCGTCTCAACGATGGACCCAACTAGATCACATTGCCATCAGCCACCGATGGAGGGGTTCGGTAGAGGACCGTCCCTCGTTCTGGGGCATATGTTTGGATTCACATCATGCCCTGTTGCGAGCTCGTATTTGTTTGAGGCTTACTGGACGTAGGAAAGACACTGCAAGGAAACCTATTAGGGTTTTACTTAATGATAATGAGGCTAAGAATATATTTCAGGAAAAACTAGAAAGAGTTAGGTAACCATATAAGCGATTCGCATTCGGAAGCAGGTTGGAATGATATCAAAAAGGCTGTGGAAACAACAGTGATATCTGCTAGTAAGGTAAACCATAAGGCTAGGATGAAGCCGTGGATATCAGTCGCATCCACCGAACTGATGGATGCTCGAAAACGCATCCCACCTGACTCTGAGCATGATGAAGAGCGTAGTCAACTTAGGCGAAGACTGATAAAAAGCCTACGTAACGACCGCGAACAGTGGTGGGTGGCGAAAGCAAAGGCGATGGAAAAGGCAGCGGCGATAGGCAACACTAGACAACTTTCCTGATTTATCAAGGAAACTGGTATTAGGAATCCTAGTGTAAGTGAGACTATCTCGGAAAAGGATGGGATTATTATCCATTCTCAATCCAGGAGACTGGATCGATGGGCAGAACACTTTAGGGATCAGTTCAACTGGCCTCGGGCCACACTTCGGTTACCCACGATCTCCAGTCATCCTGAACGACATATCGATTTAAGTCCTCCGAATCTTCATGAAGTTGAGAAAGCTATAGGAAATCTGAAGCGAGAGAGAGCAGTAGGTTCTGATAGGCTGACCCCTGAGATTTTTAAGGATGGTGGTCCAGTTTTAACAGTTAGACTGACCGAGATCCTAGGTAGAATCTGGGAACTGGACACAATCCCATCCGAGTGGTCTCAATCACTGATTGTCCCGATCTATAAGAAAGGACAAAAGTCTTCTTGTGACAACCACAGGGGAATAAGTCTAACTAATATAGTTTCTAAATTGTTAGCCTCGATTATACTCAGACGCCTAACTAGAGCTCGAGAAAAGCGGACTCAAGAAAACCAGTCTGGTTTTCGACCTGGACGTGGCTGTATAGACCACGTCTTCACACTCAGACAGGTCCTGGAACATAGACACACATTTAGGCGTCCTACAATAGTTGTCTTCCTGGACCTACAGGCGGCATATGACTCTGTGGATCGTGAGGTTCTGTGTCAGTGTCTGTCATTGAAAGGTGTGCCAAAGAAGCACATTAACCTTATATAGGGTCTCTACTCCAATACCACCGGTCGGCTGAGAGCTTATGGCGAACTGTCACCGGAATTCTTTACTTCAAGTGGTGTCCGTCAGAGATGCCGATGACATAGTCCTATTTGGTGAAGACGTTGACAAAATGCAGAGTCTTCTGATTACCTTAAGCAACAATGCAACCATGCTCCGGGTACGGTTTTCACACTCGAAATGCAAATTATTGCGTCAGGATTGGGTTTCATCGGTACCTGAACTAGTGATAGGGAGTGAAGTAGTTGAGCGTGTCGACCGCGTCACTTATCTTGGGAGTCTCATCAGTGCTGATGGCCTGGTGACTGGAGTAATCTCAGGACGGATACAGAAAGCTCGATTAACTTTTTCCAATTTACGTAATTTATGGCGTAAGCTGACTAAAGGACGGGTGTACTAAGCAGCAGTTCGCTCCGCTCTCCTATATGGATCTGAAACATGGCCGGTAAGAGTAGAAGATGTTCGTAGGTTACTAGTATCCGATCATTGATGTCTATGAAGCATTGCTCGTATATCGTGGGACAACAGAGTAAGCAATCCTGTTGTTAGGAAACGAGTACTAGGTAAGGATGGCAGGTCAACAGATGAAGTATTGAAACTTCATCAGTTGAGGTGGTTGGGACATGTGTTACGAATGCCTAACCATCGACTTCCGCGACGAGCTGTTTTGTGGTGAAGGAATAGGTTGGAAGAAAGGTAGGGGAGGCTAGACCAAAACATGACAGGAATTCATGCAGTCACTGACAAGTGGACTGAGTCATGTCGATGTGTGTGGAATACCTGGTTGGGGTTGGAGATGATAATAATCGATGATTAGAGACCCTGAATAACTTGGCTCAAAACCGTTTGCAATGGCGCAGGAGCATTTACTCTTTATGTTCTATGAAATTCTAACCTGATTTAATCTTCACCTCCATCTTTTTCTTCTTAAATTTATCTTACTGAATTATACTTCTTGAATAACATCTTCGAACCCTAATCTCTCCGATTACTTCTAATACTTTTACTACCTCTACTACTATTGGATTTGAATTGATAATTGTGTCTCTGTGCTAATGTGGTATGGCAACCTGAACTGATGTAATTACGTACGAAGTTCTACGTTGCAGCTGACTGACTATCGGAAGAGGATTATTGTAGCCGGCGGAATAGGTGCCGACTGAGGACTAGAATTCCGAATACTTTCCTCATTACCAAGTTAATTATCGCTGATAAAGCAGAAAGATTAGGTGGAGAATCTAGCTTAGATAACCTACTTTCTGTGATTGACTGCAGTTGTATTTACCTTTACCTTCAGTTACTCGTAGGCTGATAGAACAGTGAGTATTTTCAGAATTAACTCCAAAATGTATCGAAGAAATCGTTAGTGAATGGCCCCAAATCACTTAAAAACACCACAATTTAGTCTGTTTCAAAAGTGCTTGTAAAATTCCCGGTGAAAATCGCATTCCGTGAGTCTTGACTGCTGACATGTGCATACAACTCATTCTTCAAGAACATTGTCGTTTGTACTCCAACATAACTCAATTAACCTATATTTTTAAGGTTACCGACAATCGCAACAATAGGAATCAAATAAACAGGTCGTATCTAATATTAATAAAATTAGCAGATAGAGTTCACTAGACAGGTCCGATTCTACAACATATGGTCGCTAAATGCCTATGCAATTCGAATGATCATATATTTGAGTTAAAAAGAAACTCCAGTTTACACTTGGCAAGTAAAAGCACTAAAACAGTTTATTTAGCTTAAATTAAAAACCATGAATGCGAAGTCTTATGGTCTTAAATCTATCACATGCAAACAAACTTTGTTTGTAATATGCAGTATTTATTTAGTGAATCATGAAATGAAATGGTAAGATAGCCGTAGGTGGACATACAATACTGTCGAGCCATTGGGATGTAATACAATCAAATACAAGTTTCCAGAATATTTACAGAGTAACGCAATTCAAGTCAAAAGTAATAGTTAGTTGGATTTTATTTTCGAAAATACCAGGTATATGTACAAAGCTCGAGGAAAAATTCTGACGAAAGGGTCTACGATTAAGAGGAGTTCAGATTTCAATATCTTGACCAAGGATAAGTATTCCAATCAGCATCAAAACGATTGCAATTTGGCTGCTTCAAAGTTCCGTCGGGATTTCTTCTAGACTCAGCTGAATGAGTCATTGCTTTGTCCAGTCTTGAAAGACCACTATAACGATATTCATTTCCATCTTGATTCAACTTATATTTGTAGTGTGAAGTGAAAAACTCTTTGAAGAATTCACGGTTGGCCCATTTTTTGTTGTGCCACTTTCTTAAGTACTTACGACTTAAATATCTGAAATTCTCTTCATCGGGAGGTAATAAAGCCTATAGTGGAAAAGCGAAAAGTGAAACAATGCAAAGAATTTACGAAATATGAATCTGTTGAATCTTTCGACATTTTTTCTACAAGTCATGGGATCAAACAGCCTTATCAATACCATTTTAGTTAAGTTCGATTATAGAAATGTCGTTCTTGTGGCTACAATTAGGCTTTTATCGTTGTTTTAATAACAATATTTACAGGATTTTCCTAAATGAGATAAAGCTGACAAAATGCAATTTTAACGAGTTTGTTTTGCATAAGCGACTTAGATTGGTAAAAAAAAGACATTGTATTTGTGGGGTTATATATTGGTATGGTGAATTGTGGAATCAACATACCACTTTTGTTGAAAACGCATTGTTACTAGAATTTAGAAGTCAGAGCTGATATTTTCCGCGCAAAAAAAATGACGTTCAAATATTATAACGAAATCAGAACGATAAAAAAATCACTGCTGGGTATACTTAAAAACTGCAAATGTCTCTAGTGATTGATATCCAACAAAACTACTCGTATGCGTATGAACGCGTGAGTGTTTATATCCAACGAACTATCTAACCACTTTTAAAAATGTCTATAAATAAATCGAATAAGATTTAAGAATCAAACATCATTCCACGAACTTCGTTGCAGATGGGGACTATCTTACACTCAGTACTATTCCGAACTGCTTCGTGTACTGGAAAATATAATTCGGAATTCATTAGCAAACTAATACAAATAGTGAAAAACCATCTATTAAAGTAACCAGCTTTAGTTTTTATCTGAAATAAGCAATTGGTCGACAGATAGGTTAAGTAGTTAAAAAATTTGTTTTGCCACTTTCAGACTCGCTACATGAAGTTACGGTTTGCTGCGTAGTATCACTAGCCACTACAATACAAGTGTAGCTCAAAACTGAGTACACAAACCCATAGTGTGTAAATGAGTTACACCATAATAACTGGAGGTTTGTGCTAATTTCTAAGACAGCTCTTAATTTTACGTCATTAGCTTAACTTAATCACTCTCCAGACAAATTTACATTTTGAGATTTTATAGTTAGAGAAAAAATTCTGTATGACCTAAAAAACAAACATTTGACTAGACTAACCTTTAGATCGTTTGACGGGTTTGGATTATATACTGATAGGTTTGGTTCTGATGAGTTCGATAACGTATAATCAACGGAAAGACCCCTATGTCTGAAAAACCTGCCATCTGGAAGCAGCCTACATGTAAGTAAATCAGATTCAGTTGGCAATCCGTTCTCAAAAATAACAGGCTGCACCCGAATAAGATGTTTTACCTCGTATAATTCTCGGTTGACTGATGGAGTATTTTTAACAACTATCCATCTGTGATTCTACAAACTGATATACAATAACTTCTTATGTTACTTTTGTTTCACTCCCAAGGCCATATTTTTCAAGGATAGCTCTCTCGTAGTGAACAATTCCCTTTAGAGGCTTCAGCCGACAGACCATATGCAGTAAGGGAGGTTCTTTCGACTGGTTTGGCATTGGCTGAGATTCTTGCATTCGGAACAGACGTTTTGCCCATCCTAATGGATTTTTGTGGTCATCACTCCCAGGAACCGGTTTCGATTCTTTTGTATATGACATGCTGTTATGAGGTAAAGAAACATGAAGCGATCGACAACATGTCTTAAAACTCATCAAATTATAAGACCAAGGTCGGGTCATTATACGAAGGAGAGTTCCGTCTGAATGTTTAATTGTTCAGGAAGTACGATCTGTAATAGAAAAAAACACTACAGTGACTTAGAGGAAGTATGTCCTTAAATTTAGAATAATTTGTGCAGCACACTAAGGAATCCCGCATAATAAAAGTAGTGGCTTATTCTGATATGCATGCTCTGAAGAATAAGGGCAATGTAGTATTGTTTCTTGTGAACTTAACGAGAATCAACTTTGACAGTCTTCATTAGAAATACATTTTGTTAACCAAGTGAGTTGAACAGGTCGGAGAAGCAGAAACAAAACACAAAGTTATCGGTAATACGAAGACATACTAGGCCATAAAACGGATTCACTATTGTCCAAGTTTTCACAATGGACACAACTACAAAGAAAGTACGTCGGGACGTCTTAAACGATGTGGAGATCTCGATGTTAAATGTTGTAAAAATATTAGAAGTTGTGGCGGCGACGGAACATGATGTAGTAAACGATTTAATAGATGACAGGTATGTAGATCTAGTATGCCACAATTGATTATGATTCGTCCCATAATTTCCGACTATAATTTACAGCTTTAACGGAGGTTGCGACTGGGGAAACGACACTTTTATGGACAACTTTGGTCACTCTTTAAATGACTTTTGTTGACTGATGTTCACTATTTCTTAAAGTATCCATGCATCAGCAAATATAGCGAGTTAATTTATCCTGACAGAACATGCGATAAACAACTTTATTATTATTTCCTCTCAAAAGAATTTGCAAGTATATGCGAAGTTTAAAGGCTTTTAACTGTTTGCCTGATAAGTGACTACAAACTTAGGTGATTACACATACTATGAATTTACCAATAACTGAGACATTATCCCAAAATTCACATCATGTCCTCCATTATTTCCTCCCTTTTGTTGCTTGGGTAGAGCATCAGCATCTGGTTAGACTGTCACATTGACTAAGGGTGCAGTTAAGGATTGTAAAAAGAGAAACCAATACTAAGTTTGATAGGGCCAAAATATTTATAACCAAGAACTTGAAAGTTCTGGTACAGCCAAGATTGTGGAGAGATAACTCTTCTCGAAATGCCCCCATATGGCTATACACCACTACCAGGGAAATCCAACTCACTGCCTTCTTGTGACACAGGTGTCGTTTACGAGACTGAAAAGCATATGTCGACAGATCTAACCGAGTCTGTGTGTATGGAGGATCTACTTAGGAGAATTGGAAAACTCTCATCCCAAACCGATGGTGTATTTGCAGGATTCGGGATCCTGATGGAACAAATAGTATATGAACCCATTGTTGGTCACTAGCAACCATGAGACTGTATCTGCTTACGCCGACCCACTGCCTTGTGGGTTAAACATTTGAGTCAAAGGTTCAGGGTGTGACTGACTCACTAAGAAAACCACCGGCTCCCGATTGGACGTACGAGCAACATCCCTGCCAACCCACAAACTCATTAATTTGTGCGGTGCATATTTGGGTGCTCCTTTGCACCGACGTATTTGAAGTATAGTCATAACTTATAAACCGGAGTAGAACGTATGTGGTAAACTAAATTAATAAATAATAATTGCCATATCATCCGTATTTCTTAGTTATGGCTTGGGAAATTTGGTGCTTATTCGGGCGAAATTGCAATCGAAAGTTGTCGTCTTAGTCTATTCTGGGTAAATGAGACATTTAACCGTAATATTCTGCGTTACAAGATAAGTGCACTTTTCGTCTTTATTTTCTAAAGTTGGCCTGTATATTTAGGAAAACATGTTTCCCCATTTTGGGAGACATTGGTCTCACCTACTCTAATAAAAAATTATGAAAATACCCGTCCTAAATTTTTAGTATTTGAGGTGGCTTATTATATGGTTCTGGAGAAACTTAAGTTTCTTTAAATGAGAACATGATTTCTATCACTTGACAAATTTATATAGGTATGACAAAATTAACTGGTTACAGTAGTACATTTTACTTTGAAAAAAGCTACTGATCTTAAATGCGAAACTATGTCTTTAAAATACTCCATTTTCTGTCAATAACTTATTTGTCTATGACGTACAGAGAGCCACCCTCCTCACCGCGCTAATAATGAACGTTAAATGTTTCAATGACATGCTTCGATTTCGGTTGGACTTTCCTCCATGCTTATTCTGACTAGTTCACCTCATTTAAGATAACTAAGATAAAATTTCCAGGTTACAAGAGTATTCACAGCACTCAATGTAATATTGGAGGACCAGAACATGTAAGACCAGTAAAATATCACTGGGTCATCCGACAGAACGGTCAATGAATGTTGTCCATTTAATCGACCTCTATCTCAGTCAGGGATAAGCAGTGCTCATCAACAAAAGGCGTGCCATAGACAGTTGCGTGCGGCAGTCCTTTGGCCCGGTAAGCTATTGATACTAATATACGTAGTGACCAACTTAAAACATTTATTCTAACAAGTCACCTGGTTATTTAGGTAGTGCAATCCAGATTGAACATTACCTGTGAGATGTAACCTGGATGTAACCTAGATCAATTCACTGCCGTCAAACTCGGGTAGTCACACAATCATCGACACAGACTGCCTATGCCGGTGAATCACAAAGGAAATGCAGATCGTTTAATATCGAAAGTAAAAAGGGTAAGGAGAAAAATGGAATTCCCATGCCCAAGCACAGGTCACTTTAAACATGGTCATAAACGAATAACTTTGGAGACGGAAAAACAACTCTTACCTGTGCTACAGGAGGGCATACTGCAAGTAGGTATGGTAGCACCTTCTCCATACCTCACGGTCATGAGAGTAGTAAAAGCTATCAGTAGATAAATAGTATGTGTCAGTGAGGAAAGTCATTACAGTCCTAAACAGTATGCTTCAAATAAAGAGATGATCCTGAGTTGCAAACAGTTCAGATTGTCTATCACAAAAGGCTAGCCTGATGGATTCTGGACTCGGCTCTTAATTTTTCTCGAAAAAACAGTGTTACTTTGGAGTTCGATAAGACAGAAGATAGTTGCAGGTCAAATTAGCTGCCGAAATGTAAGCAAATCTAAAGGATCCCCACTGATTTATAACCAAAAGAAATTCTGTAAACTAGGCTGTGTGCCTTTGAGTGTTTGGATATCGAAGGTTTTACTATTTGATTAGCGACATTCTGACCTTCTTTAAAGAGCTAGGTGCTTTGATTTAGTAATAGTGACTGATGAATTCAGTCCCCAAGTATGTAGACTAAGCGATTTTGAAGGAAACTTGGGGGATATTATGGCGTCACGACTCAAAGATCAGATAATGGCAACCGTCGACTGCTCAGATAATCCCTTATTTATAGCAAACACTAACTTTAAGCCTAAAGAAAATGTTAGCCTCAAACTTAACCTATCAATGAACCCAGCGAGACCACATTGCTAACGGCCAATAATAGAGACGATTGATAGGCGACAGCCAATAATTCCACAGCACATGTTTAGATTCAGATCTCGCCTAGTACTAGCATTTATTTGCCGTCATCTGATTTGACGTCGGAAAAAGATATCTGACGACAGCAAAGCCGAGAATATATTTCAGAAGAAACCAGAAAAACACTCAGGAAACCGAGTGAGCGATGCTCGATATGAGGCGACTTACAATGACATCCAAAAAGCTGCGGAAACAAAGATTATATCTGTCAATGAAGCAATTCATCTGAGTACAACACTCTTGTAGGTCATATTTTTTTGAACTCATACTAAAACATTACAAGTCCTTACAATTAGTGGCCTGAGTGTGAAACATTTTCTTACTAATGTTCGCTCCACGTTATTTACATGCATTTTCGCTCAAATTTAAGCACAGCTTGGTCGACAAAGCTTACGTTAGACACAAATTAACCTTGCTAGAATCTCAGTGACCGAACTTGATTAGTCCTAGCATCTTACATACCCGTCAAGTTCAAGTCTTTATCTAGATAAACGAAGCAAGAACAATTCCGTATTGTATAATCATTTATTGAAATGCAGACATAACTTTGGGCCAGTAAGTATACAAGGCGTTAAAACTGTGGCAGGGACTTATATATATGCTTATTGCGTTGCATGAGTTGTATATTTAAACCAATTCTAGCGATATACTAGATGAAGAGCTTTCCCTATCCAGAAAGGATCGCCTAATAATTGATTCGAAAACGTGGAATATAGGATATTTCATCTATTGATTGAAACTGGTTTGTCAAAATCTAATGAACTAAGAGACATTCAGTGCCAAAAATCAAGTTTTTCATTGATCGTTCGAACGATGAAGGACCAGTTCACAATGCACAAAAATAAAACCCTTTTAAGTGCTGATTACGATATAACTTATTTGACTTATATATTACTTGTCATCTGTTACATGTAGTACCAATTAAAGTCGGTAACAAGTGACGGTATAGTTCTATCTGTACGAAGTGGAGTTTGAAAACTCTCTATCCTATTGGTGAGTAAGTCTGAGGAGTTTCAGGTGAGTAGTTGAAACACATCTTAATTTCGCTCCACTTACTTTCGTAAAACACGATCTGTCCTTGAATATCACGTGGCCTACAATTTGCTAAGTGAGGAACTGATGATTTTAAACTACTGTGATGCGTAAGATTTACATTTACGTCTAAGCCTTTCTTAACCTTATGATAGGTTCCCTGCCACATTGCTAAACAGTTTGTTTCAGTATATGAAAACACCATAGACTGTTTTGGGATTCCAAATTATGCAACGCCAACTTTCCAGAATGAAAATTAACGTAAACGACACCGCTAACCACATTTGAAAGCTATTAAATAGTTAGTTTCTTACTAAAAATTCTAACGAGGTCACCTAAACGTGTTTGTTGCGAATTATAGGATGTATCGCAGCCTTGCTTTTTAGTCCCTACAAATATGTCTTCATAAAGTCAATTGACAGACACATTATGGTTGAAAGAGGTTTATTCATCTGAGCGATCGACACGCTCAACCGCTTCATTTCCTATCACTAGTTCAGGTGCCGTCACAAGCCGATCCTTGAAGCAACATTTCGTATGTCGATGATGAAAATCGCATCCCGAATATGCTTGTAAATGTACTTCTTTGGTGCACCTTTGAATAACAGAGACAGTCAGAGAAACCCACAATCGACAGTCGTATGCCGCCTTAAGGTTCAGAACTACTACTATTGTGGGACGTTTAAACGTGTCCATGCTCTAGGACCTGACGTAGTGTGGATATCCGGTCTATACATCCACGTTCAGGTCAAAAACCAGCATGGTTTTCTCTAGTCTGATCTTCATGAGGTCTAGTTAGGTGTCGAAGTATTATTGAGGCCAATATTTTAGATACTGTATTAGTTAAACTGATTCCTTTGTGATTGTCACAAGAGGACTTTTGTCCTCACATGAGATATGGGACAGTGCTGTTACATTACATGTAGGCTCGACTATTTAGCTAATTTCGGTAATACTAAGTCATTTTAATGCTTTAAATGTTAAATCGACCCGTAATACTAACATTTGATTACATTTAGTCGATCTCAAAATTAGGAGCATCGAAAACTCCATTTTATATAAAACAGATATAACCCTGACCCACGAGGTGAAATATAATCCTATTTATAAATATTTGACGTACCATTTCTACGATTTAATCACCTATGTGACATCATATTGTTGAGATACGTTAAGATAATTAGCCTAAATCTTGTGATAGAAAATATTTTCATTCGGCTGTTTGACTATTGCAACACAAACGAAATTTGTCCAAAATATCCATTCTATTACTGAAATAGTTTACTGCCGGTTCTATCTTACACAAAGTAATTCAACGTCAAATAAGATAGGATGGGTCTACGCTGTAGACGTGAATAATTTGATTGATATATAGCACAATGTCTTATCTGTTAGATTATTACAATCACATCACAACTCGTGTTCTACATAAGGGAACTTTGAGAGGCTGCAGTGACACTAAACAATTACAAGATTATTACCAGATCACCATATAAACATGAGAGTTATTTTTGAATTAAGTTTACATTGTGTGATAATTAAATGTAAAGATACCTAAATATATAAACATCAGAGAGTGCATCGTCCGATGCTTAGGAAAAAATAACATTTGATTACAGACCGTTCATCCATTTAAAACACAAAATTACCAAAGAAATTATCACAGTAAGAAATAAGTTCATATATGATTCATGATAGCATATTAAACACCAGCTGCAATTTGAAAGTTGACTTTCTGCATTAGCTTTCTTTCTAAACGTTTATGCCTGTGATGAATTACAGCAAAACTGCATAGTGCCAATAGAATTAGTGAACATTCAAAAATCATAAAGCGACGAAATGGATCTGACAAGCTTAGATGTGTACTTTTTGTACATGTTACTTTACCATCCTGTTAGAAAAAAAAAATTAAAACAGTCGACTAGCACAAATTTCGTATGATAAAATTAAATGGTGTGAATTAAATTACTGACACTATTATTACTTCGAACCTTTGCTCAGACGTTTTGACGATTTCCTTACACTATTCGGTAAAATGATACTGATTGGTACGTATCAATATCAAGTCCTGCTACGTTTATGACCGACTTGAGGAATGGAGAAAATGGCTGTGTAAAAACTTGATCTACTCATTCAAAATTGCGTGTCGAAGCCACTGGGCTTGAAAACATAGGTCAGAGGCAACTGTAGATCTTTTTCATATATTCAAAATTAAGTTGAACAATTAATGCAAAAACTGCGTCTTATGCCGGCAGCCTAAGAGACTCAGAAAATTTCATTACGTTTCTTACATATAAAGAGAAATATATGACGAACTACGATTTTATGAAAAGGTGCAAAAATACTAGGGTATTGAAGTAATCAATCATTCAGAAAAGAAAAACAACTGAGAAGTAATAAAATATTCCAGTTATACCAGAGTGAATACATTTCTTGCCATTGCGGTTGAACGTTTTTAATCGAGGCTTTTAATCAAGAAGATTACCATCTCAAAGATTTTACCCGTATTTAGGATTACAACTGGCATTTATCGAATTCATGAAGAGCATAGCATCTTGGTCCGTTTATTTCTAAAATTTTCTTACTTAATCCTACTCAAGTTAACACTACATGTTGA